ACACAAGTATAGAGTACTGAACATATAATGAAGTAATTCTATACACTAAGGAGAGGGGGAAATATTGTTAGCTATTTGGAGATCATACGCTGCCACTATGTTTTCTTTACTAGGAATAGAACTTAGGAAATTCACTTATTGATATTAATCTCAAGTATCAGATTTCATGCCGAAGAATATTGAATCGAATAGCCTTACATACCTTATCTTCTGATCAATACAACTATCACGATTCAGCCTCCCCTTTCAGGTTTTAATCTACAATATAAGTCATGATAAATTTAAATTAGCAGCTATCACACCGTGAGCCTCGTAAAACAGTAGCTAACTTTGACGGATAATGAGCCCATACAGCCCTTAAAACAATGTGTATCACCACACCTTCCTTCTCTCCCCAATATATATATTATATATCGTTTTGCAAGATTACCCAAATTGCACCAACAACAATACACATAAAACAGCGTCAAGTATTCTTTATCATATAACCAATTATTGAACTCACCACCCACCACCTTGAGTTCTTTATTGTCGCACACCCATAATTCCTCACTCAAACTCATACATAAGGAGGATGAAAATGGAGCAGTCACCTTACCTCAATTTCTGCAACTTCTCGTTATAACTTGAATTTCTCTAGAACTTCAACTTCCCTACACACTTAAACCAAAGAAGGAGAGAAAAGTATCTTAATAACCAAGGAAGTGAGCAGTAGCTTCTGGAAATATTATTCCTTTATACCTATACTTGAGCATGAATAACATATTTTCCTAATCATCCATGGGAGAATTAAGCTAAATCCACAAGTATTTTCACTTACATTGTCTTGCAGAGATGAGGGTTTCTTCAAGAACCCTAGAAGAACTTTAAGGCTGCTGTTTAATCCTTAGGAGAAAATAGAGAGAAAGAGCTGGAGCTAATCCTCAATAATGTGTGTTAAAATGAGTTAGAATAGCAGCCAATATATATTTATATTGATCTTTCTTCTCCTTTAAGAACATCCACTAAAAAGCTTCATTTCCAACCACTAATTGGTCAAGTAGGTGATGTAGCTGCTAATGTATATCAAGCATGTCACGCCTCACATTCCATTAGAAAGGACATGCACTCGATGCCCTAAAGGCTCGAGAGAACCAGCATGTAACCTGTGTTTAACTATGCATAAAACTATGACAATCTTGTGACAAGTTCATGTGGGATGCAGCGATACGAACCAACATAAGTAGACCTAAAACTTATATACATGATTTGGTCGCTGAGACCACAACTTGTTAAGATGCAACTGAACCATATACATAAGTCTACAAAGCTTGAAAAAGATAGAAAACCTTCGGGTAGGTCGGGATAGACCCCGCCTTACTCTTAACTATGATACAATACCAAAATGAATCTACTAAGGACTCAGTAAAACTCCGAATCAATCTGGAGCTCACCAAAAGTAGCTAAGTGTTGTGTGCTCCTAATGAGGAGGTCTACTAGCTGAAGTACATGTGCCTGCAGCATAAAATGCAGCATCCCCGCCCCCCCATGAGGGACATAGTACGAGAAAATGTACTGATTATGTAAGGCATTAACATATATAAATAAGAGTTCGAATGAAACCGAGTGTCAATACATGTGTGCATAAATTAGAACAGAAGACCACCTTTGTTAACTCTTGTGGGATCATGTATGTTACATTCTTGTCTGTACCTTTTTGTGTGTTATGATCTTTATAAGGCATGTGATACAAATGACCAACTGATCAGTGGTAGAAGAGGATGACCCATGCTAGACATTTTTAAACCCCCTGGGGATGTGGTCCTCATAATTACACAAATTGGGATCGGCCTGTAACACCCCGTATTTTATGTGTACAAGACCTACACATATGGAAGTTGATTTAGCTTGGTGGTATAAGTAATGAACTTGATTTCCTAGATGAATGGTTAAAATAAAGAAGCTATAAGGGTAACTCCCGTACATTGTAATATTGCACGATCGAGCGAACGTCAAATTTTAGAAGTATTTAAATTCTGGATCGAAGGGCTATATGTAAGTCTAAAAGGTAAGGTGATCAAGTGTATATAAGTTTCGAGTTAAACTAAGGAGCTTACGCTCGGAAAACGAATAAAGAATTGAGGTGCTTGTTGGACTTTATAAAGCTAGCAAGTGTCACTTACTTGCTTAGCTCAAATGGGTTAGGTAGATGGGGAAGATTAGTTCATGCATTAGTGGGCTCACTTGAGGCCCAAATTAAATAAAAAGGAAAAGGGAATGGAGATGAGGCCTCACACCAATCTGTCGAAGTCCAACTACTTGAGCCCAATAAAGACTAAGGCCCAAATTAAGGGA